CGCGGTGGGCGGGCGGGGCTCCCAAGGCCACGCCCACCAGGGGGTCTTTTAAAGGTGCCGCACTCGCACGGCTTCTGTGCGCACTCCCTCCGACTGCGCTGCCGCAGTTCTGCCTCCTGTGCGTGGTCCAGGCTCCAACTCGAGTGAGTAGCGGCGGTAGGGGCGTTTCCGCTGACCTTGGGGTCGGGGGGTTCCCACAGCCTCCCGGGGTCCTCAGCCCGCCCTGTGGGACCCCCCCCCGTCTCCTATGACATCCCTACCGCGGTCCCCATTTAGACCCCAGCCATCCACCTCACCCCTGCTCTCCCGTCCTCCCCACCCTCATACCTCTCCCCTCGCAGGCGCCCCGGCTCTGCCCTGGGATCCTGGGCCCGCGGGGCAGATAAATACCAGTGCATGACCCCCATATCAGCGCGCCCCTGCCGTTTTTCTGGGAGAGGCGGGCTGGAGAATTTCTCGTGGTTGCTAATCCGCCTGTTAGTCGCCCGGGGCCCCTCCTCCGCGGCCGGTTCCCCCTCCGCGGGTCTCCCCTGCCCGGAGCGTGGTGCGCGCTTCCCGGGGGGTTTGGAGACTGGGGGATGAAGGCGAGGGCTCCCACAGCCCGCGCACCCGGAGTCCACCCCCTGCTGCGGCTCGGACCCCGGCCTCCCATTGTTCGGTGGTCTCTGCCCACTAAGCACGGAATCTTAAACCGTGGAAGGAACAGCCGTGAAACGTCAATGGAAAACTCCCTGCGTTTTCCGGAACTTTCGACCATTCGGGTACAAATAGGAGAGTAAGAATGCTCGGTTGAGAAATTCTGCAACAGGTCCTGAAAAATCACATCCTGGGCTTCAGAGCTCCACGTAGGCAGCTCCGGACTTAGGAGACGCCCATCTCGACCCGCACCCAAGCTGGGACGTTTGTTGATGATGTGTGTTTAAATGGTCACCCAAAATGCTTGACCTGTTTTACCTGCGGTCTGCAGACCACGTCCATTTCCATTCTAGAATTGCTTTTTATTTGGGGTAACTTTCTATACTCGGACAGTAAGAATGAAGTTTTTAACTTTTCTAATCAACCTGTGTTAAAGCTCTATCTATATAAAGAACTCAAATAGGACTGTCTTGAAGTTGGCTATAATCTGCCTCACATTTTTCAGGAAAGAGACGGGCAGTATTCTAAAAGGGCGGATGTCACAAAGTTTCAAAACTGCTTACCAAACTATAACCAATTTCAAGGCCTCCGTGGTCTCTCCCCATTTTCCTCTTGGTCATTGCACTTTCCAGGTGATTGCCACTGGTGCTTCATCAATATTTCTCAAGGTTCTTCCTACTCTGGATTCTCGTTTCTTCTGCTCCTTCTAAGGGATGTTAGGTAGAGACAGGATCTGCATCCCATGAGACCTTGAAACACAGTGCTTACCTGGATGCCTTAAACACCCTTTGACCAGAGCCACGGTTGATGTATTGAACGAATGAAGGAATTAGTAAGTTACAATTGTGGTGAACAAAGATTTAGCTGGACTCAAGCAGTCGATGCATTAGCAGATTTTATCTATGGTTTCTGTCGAAAGTTTTTAATGTTTTTCACTAAATGTATTCAACGAATATAGGTTGTTACTGATATCTACTAAATATTGCGCTGAAAGCAGTACTCAGTGGAGCTCTGTCTGTCTCGATTAAATTGCCAAAAACAGCACAGTGAGAAGAGCAGGACTGAAGCCAGTTGGGCCCAAATTCATATCTCAGCTCCAGCACCCATTGGCTTGATGACCTTGGGCAAGTTATTCTCTGACCTCGGTTACTTTATCTTGTAAAACAGATATAACATCACATACCTTGCAGCGTTGTCTTAAGGCCTATACACAGCCCAGCCCAGCCTGGGGCGGTTTCCTGTAACTAGACCCTGTTCTACACGTTGTTGAGTCTGTGGGGAAAAGACTGTTAGTGAAGGCCTCTTCCAGGAGAGCTGACTCAGAAGTGAACACTAACCCTAGGCCTTGCCCAGAGGCCAGCTCTTTGGCCTCCCTTTGCAGACATTTACAGGTTTCCTCCCATCATTTCCTGGTCTGGTATTTGCATGGTCTCCCTCCCTTAATTACCTTAATTGCCAAGGATGGTGATACGTGTTTGTTTTGTTTTTATTAATCCTCGCCCAAGGATATTTTTCCATTAATTTTTAAAGAGAGAGGAAAGGAGGGGAGAGAGAGACACACACATCAATTGTTTGCTTGCCAAAGGTGCCTGACCAACCAGGGTCTGGGATTGAACCTGCAACCCAGGTATATTCCCTTGGTCAGGAATCAAACCTGAGACCCTTTGGTGCACTGGCTGACGCTCTAACCATTAAGCAACACTGGCCAGGGTTACCTAAGTGTTTCTGTGTCATGACTTTTCTGGCAGCCTAGTGAAGCCTCTGGACTCCTCAAAATGTGAAGTGTGTAAAATAAAGTACATGGTTTCAAGTTCACTGAACCCCAGAAGTTCAAGGACTCTGTGACCCCAGGTTCATAACCTTAACTTAGGGAGTTTTCTCAAACTGGATGGTGGAGGACCTGGACGCGAGTTCTGATTGTTAAACATGTTAAGTTTTAGTGGAAGTCATAGAGGAAGAACCAATAGAAGTATATTGTGAATTATTTGCAAAGGATATTAGATTCCTTGCTTTTTTGCCTACCACCTCAAACCAACAGTACTACCAGTTTTCCTTGACTCATAAGAAGAGGACACATACCATGTAATACGTTAGGGCCAGTTCACTACAGGCAAGAAGGTTTTTTGGTGGCTTCTCTCCCAGAAGAAAAGGGTGAGGAGAATTGAATCCTCATCCAGCACATAGCAGTACAGGAAATACCCAATTTAAAAAGAACCTACGCCAGAGCCATGTAAGTCAGTACTATATTTGTGAGGCTGGTAGTGGTTTAGTTTTAGAGAAACCTCTAAACACCTATGAATTCATTTGAAGCTTATTGGTATTAATTTTTAGGTTGAATTGGTCATTTTGTTTTGGTTTCACTGTTATAAGCCACTTCATATCTCTATACCTCAGCTTCCCCACCTATAAAAAGGGGATAATGATAATGCCTATCTCAGTGTTATGGGGATTAAGTTACTATAAGTAAACTACTTAGCATAAGTAAAGCATATAGTAAGCTTTATATAAGTAAAAAGTGAATAATGTATAATATTTTAACCTCTTATGTGCAGGCATTATTCTGAGTACCTTACATATATTGTTTAATCTCAGAACTGCCTTGTGATATAAATAAGCATTACCTCCATTTTTGAAATGAGAAAACTAGCAGATCAAATAACCAACCTAACCTAAGATACTTTGGCAGATAAACAGTAGTCTTGACATATACATCTTGGTCTGACTCCATCATGTGTAAATCATTCAAACATTAATTTGTTTGAATAACTCAATATATTGTAGTTAGCATACTTGCGAATTGCTATGGCAGATGTTGGAGGCCAGGGTGACGGAGTTTATAGCATGGTTGCGTTCTAATTACAGTATGTGATTTGGCAGGTAGTCAAAGGATTTTTCTGTCAAGGATTTTTCTATACTCCCAAGTTGAAGATGTAAATGGTAACAGGCTATAGAATCAGTAATTAATGGTGAGGAGGAAGACTGGGGGGAGAAGAAAGTCTTGGTGTGTGCAGGTAACTTGCTACCGCAGGAGTGATCATTCTCAGGTGATTTAGCGATCTCAGCCCTTAAAATCAGATATGGGAGTTTGGGGGACACCTTGAAGTCCTGGAGTCAGACGAGTGGATTGAGTCTGGATTTGCTTCTTTGGGGGTCAGTGACCTCAGCAAGTCACAGAATGACTGAGCTTTTCGTAGCCATATTTGGGCCCAGCAGCACTCCTTAAGGCAGTGGTTCTCAACCTTCTGGCCCTTTAAATACAGTTCCTCATGTTGTGACCCAACCATAAAATTATCTTCGTTGCCACTTCATAACTGTAATGTTGCTACTGTTATGAATCATAATGTAAATATCTGATATGCAGGATGGTCTTAGGCGACTCTGTGAAAGGGTTGTTATACCGCCAAAGGGGTCGCGACCCACAGGTTGAGAACCGCTGCCTTAAGGAAAAGAAAATCGTCGTATATGGAGTACAGGCTCTTTGCCAGGCACTTCACCCACATTATGAACTTCAGACTCTTCCTCATCATCGTTCCAGGAACCCACTTTCAGTAGATCCAGGAGCTAAAACCGTGTTTGCCATCCACCCCTGTGTAAGCAGACCACGCTGGCTTCCCAGAGCCCTTTCTGCACACCTCTTTGTCATTTGTTATGTTGTCTTGCTATTATTTGTGTACATATTTCTACCACCACAGTCATACTCCCTGAGAAACAGGCACACTTCCTAATAACCTTTATCCTCAACCCTAACCCAGGGTATGGCTTGTAAAAGATTGAATGGATACATTTATATGAGAGCTTCCAAAACAGCAAAGCATTGCACAGTGTTTATTGGCTGCCCCTGCCCTACAATTACTTGAGATACAGAAATGAAGTTAGGAGTTAGCCAGGTGAGGGAGGGAGGTAAGTCAGTTGCCCTGATGGAAGGGATTAGGGGTATAAGGAGGAATGGGAGACTTAAGATGGGTAGAGGAAGATGAGTATTGACAACAAAGGTTGAAAACTGCTAAATATTGATGACAAAGGTTACCAATAATTGAGTGCTTACTCTAAGCATTTTCTCAGCTCATTCTCTTAACAACTCTATAAGAAAGGTATTGTTATCCTCATTTTACATATGCGGGAAGAGAGGCTGTATTGACTCCCTAATCCAGTGATGGCGAACCTATGACACACACGAACTC